AAAAAATATATATTTTTATTGATTTCAGAGAAGGGAGAGGGAGAGAGATAGAAAAATCAACAATGAGAGAGAATCATTGATCGGCTGCCTCCTGCATGCCCCACACTGGGGATCGAGCCCACAACCTGGGCATGTGATCTCCTGGTTCACAGTCTGATGCTCAACCACTGAGCCACACTGGCTGGGCCAAAAAACAATAATATTTTAAGCCACAGTTGTAGTAGGCACTAAGCCATAGCTGAAACCAAAGGCTCAAGAGAGATGGGCTATGGAACAGTACATGGGAGGTGTGAATGGAAAGGAGACAAGACCACTGAAGACAGGAAAAGGAAACGGGGGCATAATCCTGGCCTTGGGAGTCAGGGACTCACACAGAGTCTAGACCTGCCATTACCAGCAATGCAAACAATTTTGTTTTTGCAACTAGTGTGTATTTTATATTTAAAAATTTTTAATTACCAAAAAATTCTTTATTTCATAGTTTTAAAGATCAAATGAGACCACTGATGAAAGTATGTAGCCCAGAGCTGATCAGTGGGAAGATCAACTAGTATACACGTTTTTAAAAATGCAGTCTTCCCTAATGAATGTTCAGTATAATTGTGCTAATATACTTCACATTAATACACTTTATGAATACAACTTTGTTCATGATCACAATACAGAATGAGAGAGAGTGAAGCAGTAGTAGGGTTACCAAAAAAGTAAAAGCTTTCAAATCAGCCAGACCTAAAATAGAAATAGGGTTCCAGCTCTTGACAGCCAACTGTCTTACCTTACAGAAGTTATTTCACAGGGTTGTAAAGATGAAATGTTAGGGATAAAAACCCTCAACATAGTGACTGACACTCCTCAAGTATTAACTTCACTCTCTGGGACCCCTAAATAAATTCATTTCACACCTGTACTGGCACTGAGTTCTGGCTCTCCAAATGCAAAGCCAGCACTAGTCCCTCCCTGTCCCCCCAGGGCGAGGGAGGGAGGAGACATTCTTCTCTCTGCCCCCTGGTGGTGCAGCACGGCTCCACTTGACAGGGATGGGACAGTAGACACTGTCTGGGCTGGTGGAGACAATGGCAGTGTCTGAGGCAGAATCTCAATAATGTTTTGGCCCCCAAACCCCACAGTAATTTCTCATCAATTCTATAAGCTATTCACACCCATCCAATAAATTCATTTTTGCCTTAAGTAAACAGTCAGTACCTGGTGTTTATAAACAAGAACCCTGACTAGTATACTTTTGTAAAACTAATAAAAATAAATTAGTATCAGTGCCATGAGATTATTTTTAGTATCTTCTTCTCCATGACTGAATATACAAAGACAACGGAAGTAATGTATTCTTCTGCTGTAAAGATGGGTGGAATATATCAAAATTTACTTGTTGAATTTTCTTTAAATAGTCCTCCAGAGCAACCTGGAAAAAGAGAAAAATGGTCACTAGATCATAGGATGATTAAGTCTTTAAAATAAACTAAAGAAACAGTATCAGTATTAAGGCTATTTTAGTTTCCCTGAGGTGGTCTTTAATATACTAAGAATTTAAATGAGAATTTTAAAAGGGAGAGAGAAAATAAAGACATCTTCTAAGAAGTTTATATTAGGCCGGTGAAACAGGATCATAGAACTAGTACTGGAAATATCATAATTTATACTGTTCTGGTCAAAATGTAAAAGATCAGAGAAATTACAGTTTACCAGGTTTTTTTTACTAGACTGCAGAATATAAAAGGGATGTTTCAATCAAGGAAAATGAACACCACGCCAAAAAAATGCATTGTATCATGAAGAAGAACTCAAGCTGTTTGTTTAAAAGATTATATTGTTAAAAAGTTTACTGGGTCTGCATGCTCTTGCAAGAAAACGATTTGCACCTAAGGAGAACAATCACAGGTCCCTACAAATGTCACCCACGCTTCCCCCATCACAGAAAACTTGACAAAACTTTCATTGTGATGGGGGAGCAGGTTGGAAAACACTGACAATGGCAATGTTTGTTGTTTTATGGTTCTCACTTATTTCTACTAATTTATAAATTATTTATTTCAGTAACTTTCTTATACAGAGAAGCCACTAGGGTTTGCACTGAACACTTCCAAAGGCACCACTCCCTTCTGTCCCGTGCGCAGCTCCCCTAGAGTTCCTCAGCACAACCTGTGTGGTCCAGAGATCATGCTTGTGGAGTCTCTAGAGCAGAGGTTCTCAACCTTCCTAATGCCGCGACCCTTCAATACAGTTCATGTTGTGGTATGTATTTTCATTGTTACAAATTGAACATAATTAAAGCATAGTGATTAATCACAAAAACAATATGTAATTATATATGTGTATTCCGATGGTCTTAGGCAACCCCTGTGAAAGGGTTGTTCGACCCCCAAAGGGGTCGAGACCCACAGGTTGAGAACCACTGCTTTAGAGTATACAGATGAGAAAAAGAAAACAAAAAGGATTGGATTTTCTCCTATACACTTTATACAGATGAGTGTAGATATAAATAAATTCAATATCTACTTTTAAACCCTAAACTTATACATATATGCATAACAGGAGATATGTGCATGAATGTGAACAGCTGCCTTGTGTTATATAAGCAAAACACCCAGAAATTCTTTGACAAAAAAAGATAAACTTCACACAATGAAATATTATGTTGCAGTAAAATAAATGTGCAATAGCTATGTGCAATAATATGAGTAAATTTTAGAAACGTGTGTGTGTAACCTAGAAGACAAACAGAAATGACCCATTTTTATAAGCCTCAAAAACAAAAGTAAGCAACATCCTGTTTAGGATTACATAAAATGGGAAAAGTTTTTTGGAAATAAAAGCAAAATCATAAGAAATACAAAATTCAGAATGGCTTTTTGGAGGAAGAAGGCAGAGGCAGTGTACTTTAATGGTAACATTCTAGTTCCTGGGTTGAGTGGTGAATTTGTGGGTGTTCATTATGTTATACGTTATCATACATACATATATATACAGGTATGTCATATTCATTTGTAAATATCAAATATTAAACATTTCAAAAGAGAAAATGAACATATTTTAGTGCAGTTTCTTTTACATTTAAAAACAGAGCTCATGTTATGCATAATGTTCTATAATCTGCTTTTTTTTATCACTTAATTAGAGGCCCAGTGCATGAAATTCGTGCACGAGTGGGGTCCCTAAGGCCTGGCCAGCAACGGGGCCTGCCGGCCAGGAGAGGAACAGGAGGAGGGACAGCGGGAGGTTTGCCAGCTGGGGGAGGGACCAGGGAAGGTTGGCTGGCTGTGGGAGGTTGGCTATGGGAGCACACTGACCACCACGGGGCAGTTCCTGCATTGAGCGTCTGCCCCCTGGTGGTCAGTGTGCATCATAGCGACAGGTCGACTGGTCGTAAAGGTTGCTTAGACTTTTATATATACAGATATATTGCAATCAACTTTCCATCTCTAAGAATTCTATTATGCTCATTTTAATAGTTTTATAATACCTAACTATAAGAAATAGTTGATGAAATTAAGGTACAGGCATATAATAGGATATTATACAGCCATTAAATATTATATTTATAAATATTTTAATGATGTGGTTAAATGCTTGATAAGTAAGGTACTGAAATATAAAGTGTGATTTCAACTATACACAAAAATTAATTACAAAAAAAGAACAGAATAAACAGTGGTTTGTCTCTGTGTCCTAGAATTATAGGTGGTAGTTATTTTCTTCTAATATTATTTTTATGTTGTCCAAATCTCTAAGAATGTTATTTCTTTTATAATTAAAAAACTCTATTAAAATACAGATAAAATGTGACCTCAACTGGGCATTCACAAATTAGGATTTGGTTCAAAGAAAAGTTTGGCTAATAGTAAATAAATTGTTTGATATAACAATTTACTGAAAACTCTCAAAGACATTATAATTTCTGAATATGGCATATTAAAGCTTTACCTATGAAGAAGAGTATATACTATAGCCTCAGATAGTTTTTAAACAGCAAAACATTTTCTTTGAACAAAATAATTCACAGATGCCCCATTTATAAAACAATAAGAAGAGATGTGTCCCAGCTAGAATGAGGACACAGGACATTAGCAGTCCTTCAGTAATTGCCATGTGGTCCCTCCGGTTTCTCCTGGCACAGATGGAGACAGAGCTGGGCGCCAGCCCCAGGTCTGCCGTGGGGCCCACCATCTGTATTTCAAACAAGTTCCCAGGTGAGACGAATACTGCTGGTTCAGGGACCACACCGTGAGAATCACTGGTCTAAGGTAGTGGTTCTCAGGCTAGTTGCACTTCACAATTACCGGGGCAGTTTTTAAAAAGTATCAGTGTCAGGATCCAAACTCTTAGATACTGTGATTTAATTGGTTTGGGGAGGGGCCCAACATTGCTTTGGTTTTTTGGGTTGTTTTTTTACAGTTTCCCCAGTGATTCTAAAGGGCATCCAGAGTTAAGAACATTATTCACAGGGGCAGTTTTTAAAAAGTATCAGTGTCAGGATCCAAACTCTTAGATACTGTGATTTAATTGGTTTGGGGAAGGGCCCAACATTGCTTTGGTTTTTTGGGTTGTTTTTTACAGTTCCCCCAGTGATTCTAAAGGGCATCCAGAATTAAGAACATTATTCACGGAAGTGAACAAAACAGACAAAGTCCTTGGCCTTCATGGGAGCTTAACTTAAAGAGTAAGTTAAAAACAGATGATGGTGCATCCTCAAATATCATTAAGACCTAATAACCAAATAACCATTAAAAATGGTGACATAGAACAGTGTATGTTGACACAGAAGGAAATGCTTAACACCCCATTTATACAAAAAATACATATGTAATTATATGATCATAAAAAGTCCAGAAAGATAAACAGACTCTCTCTCTGGAAATGATGGAATTGTGAGAGGATTCTTATTTCTTCCTTTGCCTCCTCTAATACGCTGTGAACATCTAAACTATTAATGTATTACTTTGTAATAAGCAAACCCATTAAAGAAATAAAATGATTGGGAACACTCAGATCTGAGACCTAGAAGATCTGAAAGGGTAAAAATGAATCTTTAAATATATTTTTGGGGAAAAGGTAGAAGATATGTTTGGTATTGTAGAAAATGCATGAGTTTTCGATTTTTAAAGATCACAAATCTTTGAACTTTGGTTTTTACCTATAAAATAAAGGAAACCATGCATAAGGATGATTAGGAATAATGTCTGAAATGACCTAATTCAGAGCCTGTCCTGTAATAGGTGCTAAATAATTGGAAGCTATTCTCATTTCTTTATATATTTTTCAACAATTCCCTAACTTGGCTACACATCAGAAGCATCTGGGGAACTTATTAAAATCACAGTTTCTCCTAGGAATTCCCCCTCCTCAATCCCAAGTGTTATTTAGTAAGAACACCCCAGGAATCTGTATGCTTTCAAAGCTTTCCCAGGTATATGATGCGGCAGCTCAGCACTGGTCCATGAGCCACACTGCTCAGGAGCCAGTGCTACAATGTGGTCCCAGTGGAGAAAGTATTACTAGAATAATAAGTAATACTCATATAGCTATAAGTAGCCTAACAACCCTATAAGACAGTCTCCCACATGATTCCCATTTTACCTACGAGTATACTGAGGAACACGGCGGTTAGGGACCTTAAACCCCCACAGCTGGTAAAAGGCAAAGCAGATTCAAACTGCTGCTCTCCTCACTGGCCTCTGGGAAATACAGGCATGGCCACTGCCTAAAGCGGAAGGCAACTAAGAAACCCACCACAAGGAAGGGAAACAAAAATAAAGCCTCCAAACTAAAGACATGCATTTGAATCTCATAAAACAGAAAAAGGTCATATACACCTGCTTCATTCATTAAGCAGCCTTCCCTGTTAATCTACTTACCGTCTGAAGAAAGGCAGGAAATGCCTTCACAGGAACACTTTTGTGGAGGGACCTGGCCTAAGAAGGAAGACAAAAGGAAACTGGTTTGAAATATAAATATTTCTGGAAATAAACACTCTCCCTCAGAAAGTGAACACAAAGCAACTGGTCATTTGACAACACAGCCAGGGCCTCTCCCAAAAGCAAGAAAACAGCTCTCACCCCTGCAGATTACAATTAATTTCTTAAGCTTAAAGGACTCAGGAAAAAGAACTATATTAAGAATTCCATTCTTCCTTAACAGTTGACTTTGGCATTTTCCGGCTGCCTTATAACATCCTGTAACTTTGACCCTCCAGCTCTGTGGTTAGGGGTAAATGAAGAAAGACTTGTGTTCACAAGTCCCAGCACCTCCCAGCTTAGACGGTCATTATCTCCTGTTTAGATGAATAGAAGATCCTCCTAGCTGATCGTTCTGCCTCTGTGTTCCCCAACCTTTAAATCATTCCACACAGCCAGCCAAGTTAATGTTCCTAAGTCACTGTTTTATGTTTATTTTCTTTAACATATGTCCCTCATTGAGCAAGTCTCAACTATGCAACTTGGGATTCAGAGGCCTCCACACCTTGATTAACCTCATCTAACTCACCGCCCTACTTCTCTGGACTAGGAATCCCCGAAGCTCTCAGGCTGATGCCCACCTGCTCTCACCAAGCCCAGCCGTTTCCAGGCCTTTGTGTACACTGTCAGATACCACCGCTGCTTCCTGACTCACATCTTCACCCTTCCCCTCTGTTTCACCAGTCTACTAAAATTGCTCTCTTCAAAATCATCCACGCCCTACTATTCACCCTAACTCTTTTCTCTTCATCTCCCTGTAGCATGCACAGTTTTCCTACTCCCCATTCTTGGAATTTGTTCCTTCCTTGGTTTCTAACACACTGACTCTCAGTTTTCCTACTTTTTTGATCATTCTTTCCTTCTTCTTCCTAAGAAATGGCACTTTCTCCTTCCACCTGAGGAATGGAGGTGGGCCACAAGGTTCTGTCCTAGGTCCTTATCCAGATGTACATTCTCCTTGGGCAATGACATCCAAACTCAGAGCTTTAACCATTTCCTTCCATGTGGATGGCTCCCAAATCTCTCTCTCCAGTTCTCATCTCCTTTCAAAGTCACAATCCTGCATTCTTTAACAGCCCATCTCCCTAAATGTCTTCTAATCCCCTTCTATTCATTGATGTCTAGCAGCTAGTCTGTCTACTGATCCTAGTGTACCACTGCTTTTTTACTACTATAGTCTTTGAATGGCCCCATCACCATCTCTACTTGAACTCTGTGCAGCCTTCAACTTCCCCTCTTCCTGATCCTGCCACAATCCAATCAGTTATCAAGTCTATTTGATCCTAGCTCTGGGTGTGTGTGTGTGTGTGTGTGTGTACATACATAAACATCCACCTTCTCTAAATCAGACATTCTTAAATGTGGCAAAAGGAGATTATTCACTAGTGATTATTATTAGAGCAGCAGGATGAAAGCCAAATTACAGCATGAACAGTGTCAGGGCGGTGAGGGCCTTGAGGTAACAATGAATGCAGACCACTTATTCAAAAAAGGTTAATTGTGAGGGAAAAATAAGAAACAGGAGGGTCCACAGGATGCTGATAACTTCAGAAGGCAGCAGCAACAAACCAGAAGATAAGAGAGACAAGTTATCGGAGAGGCCAACTGAAAACCCCAGCTGGGACCGCTGAGCATGCAAGGTCCTGGGAAGGGAGGCGAGGCATCAGCCCTGCAAGGCAGAAAGACACGCGCCCGAGAGACAGAAATGGTGAGTGATGATCAGAGTGGAACCTAACTGAGGAAGCCCAGTAAATGGGGCACACATTTGCTGAAAGGGAGAAAGAGGTATTTTTTAAAAGTGGAGAAAGTTTACAATAGTCCCTGAGATAAATCCACTGGGATTTCAATGAAAGTTGGAATACAGTCTGCCAAGTAGGGAACAGTATGATCTAGGAACAGCCACACCTAGAAAGGATAGTTTCCTAAATGATTTGTGGGGGGAAGGGGAAGGCTACTTACATGCTTCAAGTGCAAGTGCGCCTGGCTGGCAATGTCATATATCACATCTCTTACATTTTTATCTTGGTTCTTCCGTAGAAAATCCTCTTGTGAAACACCATGCTGTGTTGAAAAATATTATATTAGCAATTAAAAAGTGTACTTAACACTAACTTAGCTCAAGAAAACAGGTGAGAGAACAGTAAGTACAATATAATGTCTATTTTGTTTTTAAAAATATATGGATGTGTACATATATGTGTATGTGTGGCTGTGTATATATACACAGGCTGGCTGGCTCTCTCTCTCTCTCTCTCTGAAGAATATGCAACAGGATGATAATTAACAACAGTTGCAGTAGTAGAACAAAAATACACAAGCAAGAGCCCTAGCTGGTTTTGCTCAGTGGATAGAGCGTTAGTCCTGGGTTCGATTCTGGTCAAGGGCACATGTCCAAGTAGCAGGCTTGATCCCCAGTAGGGGGCGTGCATGAGACAGCCGATCAATTGATTCTCATCATTGATGTTTCTACCTCTCTCTCCCTCTCCCTTCCTCTCTGAAATCAATAAAAATATATCTTAAAAAATACACAAGCAAGAAAACAAACATATAAGACGTTTTAAAAGCACAGACAATAATGATTCTCATACAGAAAATAAAAGTTCTCATAAACAATATTCTTGTCTTAAGGATGATTTCCTCCTCTAAAATAAAGAACAGGCTGGTCCTGGCCAGGTAGCTCAGTTGGTTGGAGCCTCATCCCAATACGCCAAGGTTGCGGGTTTGATCCCCAGTCAGGGCACAAACAAGAATCAACCAATGAATGCATAAGTAAGTGGAACAACAAACCAATGTTTCTCTTTCTCTCTCTCTTCTCTCAATTAAAAAATAAAATAAAATAAAAAAGAACAGGCTAAGCTGAACAGTAGGAATTATTACTGTCATTGCTTGGAAGGGAGCAAGCATCCACATGAAGCTACACCAAGCGAGGTTCTCTGGATTTCCTTACTCATAGCTCCACCAGAGACCGAAAATGCCTGACTGACAAAAATTCTCACTTGATAACCAAGGAGCTGAAAAGAAATACACATTCATTTCAAAGCAGTTACTTGAACAGACTAAGCAAAGAGCCAAGAAATAACATCCCTCCCATCTTCCTGAGGTAAATACAAGTAACAGCCTTACCAGCATACAAATGTCCATGGGAAGGAACACCCTTCTTCTGCTAGTGTGATACGGCGTGGCTCTCAAGCAAGTGACAATGCCGTGTGCCTTTCCAATGTGACTTGCAGCGTGATCTGCATGAAGATCCTTTACACCTGTGGTTTTGAAAGTCATCACAGGACTGCTCTTTAAATGCATAAGTCAACAGAAGTACAAAGAGAAATCACCTACACATGTGAAACTAATTGTTTATCCTAATGCATTCACACCTGAAAAACAGGATCTATGAGTAAAATGGGCACAAAAACAAGCTGACTACTAAGCAGGTTTCTGAACTTGAACTTTTAAATAAGTTTTCCTCAGACTATATCACACTAAGAACACATTTGGAATTGTAATCAGCCATCATGGAAAAACAACACGAGTGTTTCATTTCTTCTCAGTGCAACGTCCATACGACCTCACTTTAAGTATATTCTGCTCTTTGCTCCCTCCTTTCATTGTGTTGGCAAACATGTCACCGAATGTGCAGGCAGAACAGGCCTGGGAAATTCAATATGCATAGGATAAAATAACATTTATTCCTTTAGGGTGACATAAAAATATATTACCTTCTCCAAATGGATGTTACTGTCCTTGTGCCAAGTAATTTCCTCATTACAATCCTCATTACTATAAGACCTTCCCAGCTTAGAGGCTTAAAAAATCATCAGCCCTGGCCTATTTGGCTCAGAGGTTGGAACGTCGGCCTGCGACCGAAAGATCTCGGGTTCGATTCCCGGTTGGGGCGTGTGCAGGAGGCAACCAATCGATGTGCCTCTCTCACATCGATGTTTTTTTTTTTCTCTCTCTCTCTGTCTCTCCCCTTCCTTTCCACTCTCTCTAAAAAAATCAATGGAAAAAATATTTTCGGGTGAGGATTAACTAACATAAAAAAATAAAATACAAGGGTGGGGAAGAAAAAAAAGGACACATATGTAATACCCTTTGTAATACTTTAAGCAATAAAAAAAAAAAAAGCAGTAATAGGGGAAAAAATAAAAATAAATAAATAAAAAAAAAAAAAAAAAAAATAAA